AACTACTTTATTCTATAATGGACTTTTAGCGATAATAGACACCCTCATGCCCAAATTAGTCCATTAAATCAAGTTTTACTGTATATGGTCTTCAAAAATAGTTCAGTATGTTCTGTGAGTGACAGAAGTAATTTGTTTTGTAAAATATGACCACACAATGCAGTCTTATTGACTCAAATTTGGCCAACCTGGAATTATTAACTTACCGGTTTTGACCAGATTATTTTGATTACTTAGTAATTATATTCAACAATTACAAACCTGTTGCTTATAGCGACACACTTTTCCTGGTCTTTCTGTTGAACTGAATTAGAACTGGTTCCAATCTTTAAAGATTTTTTTTCTTATGTTGCTAACTCAGTAAAGTGTTTGAATAGGATTGAGTATTTCTTCTCTTTATTGCTATTATAAAAACTTAATATGCATTTCCATATGTTTTAATTATAGTGAGAAATACAGGCATGCATAGGTAATAATTTAGCATGTATAACTTAATGGTATGCAATGTTTAGGATTATTATTTCCACATCTTACAAACCCTCTAGAATAGCGTTATGTAACACTGGAAATACAGTTACTGATAATTTCAAAAAGTTTTATTTCTACTAAAGTAAACATGGAAGTACCTTGTGATCAATCAATCCCATGCCAGCGTATTTTATTTGAAGGACATGAAATCAGGATCTCAAAGTTATCTGCACCCCCATGTCTATTGCAGCACTATTTACAATAGCCAAGATATGTAAACAACCTAAATGTCCCTCAACAGATGACTGGATAAAGAAAATGTGGTATAAAATGTGATATATATATTCGAACACTCAGCCATTTAAAATAAGGAAATCCTGCCATTTGTGTTAAAAAGGATGAATCTGAAAGGTATTCTGCTAGTGCTAAGTGAGATAAGCCAAAGAAAGAAAAATATTGTGTAAACTCACTTATATGAGGAATCTTAAAAAATTATATATAAAAAAGGTGATGTCATAGAAATGGAACTGAATGGAGGTTGCCAGCGGTTGGGGTGAGAGGGACATGGGGTGACGTAGGTCAAAGGTAGACATTTTTTGTTGTAAGAGGTTCTTAGGGTCTATTGTACCGCATAGCGACTATAGTTAGTCAGATGGTATTGTATGCTTAAAAGTTGCTGAAAGTAAATTTTAAACATTCTCACTACATAAATAAATAAAAAAAGAGTTAACTGTGAAATATGTGAGGTGATAGAGGTACTCATCTTGCTCTTCATAATCATTCTGCAATGTGTATGTCTATCCAATCATCACAATGCATGTACACTTCAAATATATACAAATAAATATATATACAAATAAATACTTGTCAAGTATTTTCCAATACAGTTAAAATTAAAAGAAAATCCTCTCTGCTTATTAATGCTTCCATGATTGTGTTTAAAAGTACATATATGATGTTCACATCTTAGACAACAAAATATGTAGCAGATCATATTTATCATATACCTGGAATAAAATCATAAATATGCTATATTAGTTTAAAACATCAAGAATAGGCTGCAAGGCACACTGAAGATGCATTTCACTGGTGTGTTTTATCCCATGGAAATATATTTATGTTCTATTAGAGAGCAATACTTAGGACAAATGAAAGGAAGGGAAACTTGAATTATCTCAGCCTCCTTTTCCCAATTAAAAAAAAAAAAACTTTCCTCTTAAATGCTACGCAATCATCTGTCAGCAGCAGGGTGATGGTGGGTGTTAAACTGTGTGTTACATCCTAGATAATGTCCAACATGTAATGGATCCTCAATAAATGGTTGACATTGTGATTGTCTATGGGGATGTTCCTACACTTAATAGTGTCAACTACTACTGTTCTATTAATCCTAATGATTACTAATAAGATGGAAATGGGACAGAAAAAGTAATCCCTGTGATAATTATAAAGCATTTTCACTTTTAAATCTAGTGACATTCTAAAATATTTTCTAAGCATGTTTATGGACTTAAATCTATCACGACTTAAATGTCTCCTTACAGATAGAACAGTCAGTTCATCAGTAGATAAATAATGTTCCATCTCCGTCACCCTGCTTGTTTTCACAATTATCAAGTTCCTTCCAAAAATAGCCTCAAGCCTACATTTAAACCAAACCTGTTTTCCCATTATATAAGAATGCTTATGGTTCTAATTCTGTGATTGAGTTTGCCATATAGATGAACAGTTCATTTATGGAATTTAAACATGTTTGTTGCCAAAAAGTTCTGCTTTTACTACCCAAAAGGTGATGATAATAATCTGGTTCATGTGTGTTTGCATTTGTATTAGTCAGAAAAAATGCTTATAATGCAACCTTTAAGGCAGTGGCTTAACAGAGCTGTTATTTAAAGATGTATGATGTGTGAGAGGCATTGCTACTTCATTAGCATCCCCAGATTGGTCTGATTTTCAGTTTGTGCCTCACATTTCCTCCAGAGACCTGGGGTCCTTTGTTACATATGCCTACATTCAAATCAGAACTCTCTGTGATGGCATGCTAGTGCTGTGCTTCTTATGGCAATAAGAGGTTATAAAATCGATGCAATATTGGACTAATGTGACTCTGAAAATAGGAATTAACAATTTCCATTGTGTAGTTAACCTCACAAAAATGGTAGCAAAATATAATGGCCTTGGAGAAGTTTCCTGGCAAAATTCAGTGCATCTGACCACGTTATAAAAAATATTGAAGCAGCTGAAACTGGTTTGACTCAGTGGATAGAGCGTCGGCCTGTGGACTGAAAGGTCCCAGGTTCGTTTCCGGTCTAGGACATGTACATTGGTTGCGGGCACATCCCCGGCCGGGTGTGTGCAGGAGGCAGCTGGTCCATGTTTCTCTCTCATGGACGTTCTAGCTCTGTATCCCTCTCTCTTCTTCTCTGTGAAAAATCAATAAAATGTATTTTTTAAAATGTTGAAGCAAAACACTTAATTTTCAGCAAACATCTTAGGAGGATAATAGATTTGGGGGCTATTTTACATTTTGTGCTACTTTGCATGTGAAGTAGAAAACATTTGGCTGGACAGTTCTTTTCATCGGATTGTTATAACCCTCCAGTATCATGATCTCAGGTTACACAATGGGCTTGTTTCCACTTTACCCTGTCTTCTTCCACATCCATTTAGGTTGAACTGATTTGGAGTTCTGTGCGGGAGGAGGGGCAGGAGTTTCTAATGGGAAGAAGAGTCATGTGAGAGTCTGTGGGGAATGAAGCTTGAAAACACTCAGGTTATAGGGTGGAACCAGAATTTATGACTGAAATCTCCATAAGAAAGAGGGTTAGGTGCTAAGTGGGGAAGGGGGGGAGGGATAAGAAATACTTTCCTTCTATTCTTAGGTATAGCATTGGCCAATTTATTTTGATCAGCCTATCAGCAAAGGGATATCGATCAAACCAAAGGATTTAGCATTTTTAATGATGTTTTTAAAAGTGAGTGCACATTTACATACTGTCTTTGTTTACAGGAGGCGTGGAACAGGCAGCCCAGCGGATAATGATGCTGTGAGAACCTGACTGCAGCATGTATCGGTTTGGCAGAGATGTTTGTGAAAGCAAAGATCAGGGGGGAGCGTGCAAAGAAAGATAATTTATTTTTGTATTTTTGCATAGGCCAGTTGTGCTTTTGAGGGTTAAAGAGGACTCAGCAAACCCCATCCTCAGCCCTAGGGTCTCCCGCCCCCCCCTCCCCCCCCCGCCAGGCCTCCGGAGCCCAAGGCAAGGAGACCCCAGCGCCCGTAGGTGGCGCCCCACGTCCGTGCTTGCGCCCTCGCTGCGCTCTGGGCGCAGCTAGGAAACCCTGCGTGTCTCCCCAAGTCCTCAGAGCTCAGAGCAGGCATTTTAACAAATAAGCGCGAGTGCCAAGCGCTCCGGGAGCCCCCAGGATCAGAGGAGCAGCACCGAAACCCAGATGGAGGCGCCTCCTTAATCCCCGCCAAATCCTGACATTTCCCAAACTGGAGACCCAGAACCATACCCTTTAAACCATTCAAATCCCAAGCCTTTTTCTTTTTCTTCTCTTCTCTTCTCTTCTCTTCTCTTCTCTTCTCTTCTCTTCTCTTCTCTTCTCTTCTCTTCTCTTCTCTTCTCTTCTCTTCTCTTCTCTTCTCTTCTCTTCTCTTCTCTTCTCTTCTCTTCTTCTTCTTCTTCTTCTTCTTCTTCTTCTTCTTCTTCTTCTTCTTCTTCTTCTTCTTCTCTCTCTCCTCTCTCTCTCTCTCTCTCTCTCTCTCTCTCTCTCTCTCTCTCTCTCTCTCTCTCTCTCTCTCTCTCTCTCTCTCTCTCTCTCTCTCTCTCCCCTCCCCCTTCCCTCCCCTCAATCCCTTTTTCAATTATGAAAGTGGTCAAGCTCCTCATTAAGATTTGGAGGGAATTTGGAAAAGAAAAGAAAGAATCAAAGAGGTGCTTTTGACGGTGCCTAATTTTTGAAAGCGACGTCGGGGAGGATTTCGCTCTGGGTGTTAAGGTGAGAGCCGAACCTGGGTGGTGCAGGGTGCGGCGGGGTGCGGGAGCGAGTGCTGAGCCCGGAGAGGGAGGGCGCCTTGAGTGCTGGGAGACCCCGGGGCGTTGGGCTGAGCCGTCTGGAGACCGGAAAGGCTGGGGCTGTGGGCTGGGGTGGGAGGGAGAGCCGCGAGCGCGCCGCGGGCGCTGGAGCCGTGCAGACGCGGTGCAGAGCCGGTGCGGAACGCACGCCTGCGGGGTGCGGAGCGGTGCGGAGCGCGTAGCGCACTAGTACCAAGCGAGGGCGTAGGAGGCGCAGGGCGCGGAGCGGGCTGCGGTCCGGTTTGGGGCGCGGGGCGTGCGGGTCCGGGCCGAGCACCGGTGGGTGCAGCGCGCGGGGAGCAGGCGCGGCCGGCGAGGCGGAGGGGCAGGGCGGGGCGGAGCTGCATTGGCCAGGCGCGGGGAGCGGATTGCGCCCGGCGTCTCCTCCCGCCAGCTGCGCTCATCCTCCTTAAGCAGAACTTGGCTGACGGCGGGGCTCGCTCGTCATGGATGTTCCAGGTAACCAGCCCAGTCCTGCGCCCCGCGATCGGCGCGTTTCTTGCATTCATGCGTGTGTTTTAACGGGGACCATCGCGAGTCTGCGTCTGGGCGTCGGGAGAAGCGACCGGGAATAAGGACAGAATTTTGTCTGGGGCTGAGGACAGAGGCTACTCATCGGAGAAATAACTTCTCTCTTCTGAGACTGTTGGAGGAGTTGTTGAGAGGCTGTGGGCGGCCTGGGGAGAGGCTCCCGGCTTTTTTGTTTCTGGGCTGGGTGTGGGAATGACCTGTCTGGTGTAGGGGGAGCTGAGGGGGCCGGAGGAGAAAGTGGTTAAGTTAGCAGAGAGTCTTGGGGCCGCTCCCCGCAGCTCAGCAGAGAGAAGCCCGGAGTCTGAGAACAAAAGCTGCACCATCAGGCCATCTCAGGGCTCAGGTCGCCGGGATCCTCGCTTGTGCCAGAGGGATCGAGGGATTCTCTAAAGCGCTCGCTGCTGGCCGAAGGGACGTGGTGGACGTGGGTGTTTGCTTTTAGAGTCTCTCTCTCTCTCTTTCTTTTTCTCTAATTCATCCTAAGGATCCTGGAGATGTGGTCTTTGCATAGACTGCTTTAAAAAATGTCCAGGATGGGAATATACAGGAGGAAAGGGAAAGCAGAGAAAAAAGAGGGATTTGTAGTGTGTTGAAGAAAATGCCGCTGACATGAAGGCAATGCAGCATGAGTGGATTTTCCTTTGCTGCGTCCTGAGCTCCCCTCCGCCTTAGGCTAGAAGGGGGTGTGGGGTGGCGCTGATGGAGTCCCCGAGGGTGCCGCCGAGGCCGTGCAGAATCGCGGGCCCCTGACCTGCCTGCACCTCTGGCGGGCGCCACCCCTGAGCCTTTGGGGATGCCCTGCCCGGGGCGCCGCCGCGCGTTTCTCGGGACCTGTTGTGCCAATCTGGGAGGGGGGGGGGGTTGTGCGCGGGAACAAGAGGGTAGCCTCAGGCACCTGCTCCCCGGGCCCCCTCCCGAACTGCTTCAGCTCCCAGTCTAAGGGTTTGGGTTCTTTGCCCTGACAGGTCCGCTGGCGCTTTTCTTGTGAGGACGATCCTGGCCTTCGCCATCAGAGCAGGGGACCCAGGCCAGAGGAGGCTGTCCCCGGCCCCGCACGTTGCTCGGCCGCCCGCGCTCCTCCCTCCGCCTCCGCCGCTGTCCCGAGCGCGCCGCCCCCCCAAGCCCGGATGCTGGCGCCTGGCCGGGGCCCCCGCGGGCCGCCGCTGACCATGCCCGGGCTCCGGGGGGCGCTGCGCCAGCCCACCGGCTGCGGCTCCTGCCTCGGGGCGGCGCTGGCCCTGCTGCTGCTGCTGCTGCCCGCCGGCTGCCCGGTTGGGGCGCAGAACGACACGGAGCCCATCGTGCTGGAGGGCAAGTGCCTGGTGGTGTGCGACTCCAGCCCGTCGGCGGACGGGGCTGTCACCTCCTCGCTCGGCATCTCCGTGCGCTCCGGTAGCGCCAAAGTGGCCTTCTCCGCTACCCGGAGCACCAACCACGAGCCGTCGGAGATGAGCAACCGCACCATGACCATTTACTTCGACCAGGTCAGCCGGCCGGCCGGTGTGCGCAGGGTGCCTCTTGCAGGAAGAACAAGGGAAGGTGGGGGGAGACTGGGCGCTGGGCTGGGGCTGGGGCTAGGGCTGGGGCTTCCCGCATCCGGGGACCTGCAGTTCCAGGATCTTCCCTCCTCTGCCCTGTCCTGTCTTGTGCCCCTTCCTTCTCTCTCTGGTTTCTAGTGTGCTCTTCTTGGCATTCCCTCCTTATCACATTATAGCTTCCTTGTTACTGTCAGCTCAGGTGGCGCTTTGGTGACTGAGAACTCCATAAAGCTAAGAGATCAGAAAGATATTTCCCAAAAGGGAACTGCATGGTTTACTTTTTTGCCCGAGTGGGGGCTGTCATTTGTGGTAGATGGGCCTTGGTCACCCAGGTGGCCAACCCCAAGATAGCCTTTTAAACTCTCCACGCTCAAGGAGGGGTCCTCAGCCTCTCAGAAAAGAGGTACCTGCTGCTTATTTTGGAAAGAACTGGAAAGAGGACATTTATCTTCAAGAAAAATACGTGTGCAAAAGTGTGAGGGAAATAGCAGGGTGGTTATATAAATACAAAACAAAATCGCTTCTTATATAACTGCAATGTATAGTGAAAACAATATATAAGACAATCTACATACACAATATGTTCACAATATCAATATATAAGTGATTATGGGAATAATTTTTTTAAAAAAGGATCCATGATTTCTGTTGTCCTAATCCATTTAACTTCCCACTGGAGTGAAAGCCAAAAGGTTATGAATAGGATCTTACCTTGGCAACCCCCCTCTCAGGTGTGGCTGCTCAAGATTAGAGGTCATGACCTTCCTCTTGGATCCCTCCCCATTTGGTTCTGTTGTTTTTCAGATGCAAATTGAAACATAATAATGCTTTCCAAACTCTAAGGCATCAGTCCATTCTTTTGAACCCTGTGCCTTCCACAAATGGAGCCCTCTTCAGCTGTCCACACTGAGACCTCCCTCTGCATAAACCCACTCTCACTCCTGCGTAGCCATAAACCTGCACACACTCTCTTGCCTCATTTTAGGCCAGTGTGTTCATTTGTTTTCCTTGTTGTTAGGGAATATGTATATTCATGAAGTTTTGTGGGATTTGAAGGTGGTGGTGGGAGGTAGTCTGTCTTTATTTTTATTTATGAGACATAATGATATTTACTTTATGTTCAAAGAAAGGAGACAACAAGAGATAGGTAACTATTTCCTGAATTAATAAGCTCTCCTTTATGTGTCACTATAATTTACTTCCCATGTCCTACAAATAGTTTTTAAGTGCATTGTTTCATTTGGGTGTCAAGAAAACGGTGATGATGGTCAGCATAAGTAGTAGCAGGGTTCTCGTTTTACGGATGAGGAACTGTGGCGGGGCAGGCTGAATGGTGTGTCACTGGTTCCTAGTTAGGGAGAAACAGTCTGCTTTTCTGAGCTGGAACAATCCTCTACAGCAGGGCTCTGAAACTGCCAGTTTCCTGAATTTCAAATTGAGGCAAAGAGTTGGAAGAAGCAGCTCCAAGGACCTGAATGGAGAATGCTTTATTCTTCATAAAAACATCATACTACCCACTGAGAGCATAGCCTTGGGGAGGCACAGAACAGTAGGGCACACCATCCCTAAACATAGAGACCCGCATGTCTATGTGAGCCCCACAGACTAGGGGGCGGAGGTGGTGCCCCCAGCTCTGGTGCGGGCTGCCTTCCGAACCATTCCGGCAGTTGTGGTTGAGCAGCAGTTGACATGGCTCTGGGAATTGCTTGTTATTCATCTATAATGAGCGCCTAAGAAATCACCGCAAAACATATTCGGTTGACATTTATTTTCTGAACAGATGACAGGCTCTTTCATCCAGGGCTGTGTTGTTGTTGCTGGATGTTTGTCTTAGAAGCTGAGAACACCAGGCAAGCCATTCTAGTATGTTAATCGAGTTGTGCACTTGTGTGTGAGTAGGAGTGGGGACAGGATCCAGTCGGAGTGGCCAAATTCTGTCTTAAGCTTGTAAAAAAAGATTTGGGTTATGATGGGGGCTCTCTACTCTTCAGGTTCTTCTTATGATGTCATGCTTCCATCCCCTCTGATTTGAGGAAACCCACTTGCAGGGCCAAGTGAGCTCGTATCCCATGGCTAGATTAGTCACTATTCTTGCACCTGATGGAATTCCCAGGGTTGAGCCAAGGGTATCCAAGCTACTGTGTGGACTCTCCTGCTATTTATTCAAGCACAATGAATGACATCATATATAGCTCATCCAAGGAAGCAAACATCTCTCAGAGGAAATGGAGGAAAGCAGGCACCACAGGTGTTTATGGACTGAGATTTTGCACTCAGCAGCCATTATTGAGCACCTACTGTGTGCTGCCAGGGCATGTTCTGGGGCTGCAGGAACACAGTGACCAGGACCTGACACAGTCCATTCTGTCCTGGTGCACATACAGGGAAGCTGCATCGGAGGGAACTGATCTTGCTTAATTGGCTTCTTGCTCCATAGCCTATTCTCCACCCACTCAGTGTGGCCCACTCATTTTTTGTTTTTGTTTTTATTTTTAATTGTATTTTATTGTTTAAAGTAGTACATATAGTAGTACAAATATTTCCTCCCATTACTTTTTGTCAAAGCTCCATGCTGAAGTCCCCATCGTTCCACAAGCCTCAGAACAGACTCAACATCCGGCTGTTTACTGACCTCATTGTCTTCCTTCCTTTCTTTCTGTCCTGCCCCCAATGCATAAAATTAGCACCTACTTTTTTCAACTCATAAATGAACATAGTTTAAAACATCTTTATGATTCACTATCCCTTGGAATGCCTTTGAAATCACTTCCCACTGCGGGGAATTTTAACTCCAGCAGTGCATCCCCCGTGGGTGGGCAGCCCGTGGTGGACCTGGGTCACTGCTCTGCCTGTCTGGTCACCCTGTGTGCCACGGCAGGGCCTGCTATGTCTCTGTGTGTCCCTCTTCTTTTTCAGGTGTTAGTGAACATTGGCAACCATTTCGATCTTGCCTCCAGTATATTTGTAGCTCCCAGAAAAGGGATTTATAGCTTCAGCTTCCACGTGGTCAAAGTGTACAACAGACAGACCATCCAGGTGGGTAGCTTCGGAAACGGGACCCTTTCAACTTTGGGTTACTCATTTGCCACTACTGCAGATCCTATCAGCCCTCTGTGAGGCAGCGGGAGGGGCTGGGAGCCCGCTGAGTCCTCTGGGTCATGCCCCTGGGGAAGTAGGGCTCCATGGAAAGGGTGGGGGGACGGTTGGGGGGAAAGGAGAGGACAGGTGTGTGAGAACAGGTGGGCCCTGAGTGACCTGCTGAGCTCTCCCCTCTGCATTGTAGGTCAGTTTGATGCAGAACGGCTATCCAGTGATCTCAGCATTCGCAGGAGACCAGGATGTGACCAGAGAAGCAGCCAGCAACGGGGTCCTGCTGCTGATGGAGAGGGAGGACAAGGTGCATCTCAAACTGGAGCGGGGCAACCTCATGGGCGGCTGGAAGTACTCCACCTTCTCCGGCTTCTTGGTGTTTCCTCTATAAACGCCGAGCCTGGGCTGGCTGGCGGGGAAGTTGTCATCTGGACCCAGGAATCTGCCCTCCCTATGCCCCTGAACTTGGCAGGACAGGACATCTTGTTTCCAAGCTCCGTCTGACTGTCGCGATAAAAGAATGATTTCCTTCCAAATCTCCAGTATTTTCTCTGACTACTGACCGTTCCTCGGAAACCTGGCCTCTAATTAGTTTTGAGCGATGAGGTCTTCAGGAGAAATGACACTGCGGATCTGAGCAATTTGTACCTGTGATTGTAACGTCGATCTGGGATTTTGCTGTTGGGACCACTGCGATTTCTTCTTTTGTATGGACACCGTATTGTTGTCCGGAGCGAGGAGTGCCCAGACCTCAGGATGGATTGCAGGGGGCCAGCCGCACTCAAAGCAAGAGGCTTGCAGGTCACCACCTACTGGCCAGCCCGTGAAATGTGTTCTCTGTGTGTCTGTTCAGCCTTAAGAAAAAGGATGGCTTGGCTTTCATTCTGTGTGTTTCCCTGGGAGAATGGGAGGATTGGGGAGGGGGGAGGGCATTGTGATCCTGTCGGAAGTGCTTTATCTGGAGATGCGAGTTTTGCACGATTGGACTGGACTTTTGTTCTGTACTGTTTGTGTGTGTGTGTGTGTGTGTGTGTGTGTGTGTGTGTGTGTGTATGTGTGTGTGTGTTTCCTTGAAAAGCTTTACTTTTGCTTTCTACGCTCGGCTCTCCCTCTTCACTCCTTGCTTTTATTCTTCCTGCTGGGCTGAAGGAGAGAAATGTCTATTGAATTCCTGGATGAGACCCAACCAAACAAAAGGTACCTGTACATCAAAGTGAAAATGACACATGCACAATTCCTCGGATTCTTTTAAGGAGATCCTCTCGGATGCACCATGAGAATGAACAACTAGGATTTTTTTTTAACACTCTGGAGTACTTTAAGAACCTGGCGTTCCTGGGTGGCCTGGATCATGTCAGATGAGAGCAGGCGCTGTGTGACCGAGGCTCCCGCGTATCTGGCTTCTCTGTGGAGGGACCTGGGCTTCGCAGCAGCATGTTTCACTTACTGGGATCCACTCTGCATGGGAACACCTGGAGCCAGGTGCTTCGAAGGCAGCGGGAACAGCCACTCTCCAGGGATGCTCTCCTGATCTGCCCAGGAAAGAGGGGTGTGGACATGCCCCTGCTCACTGCGTGCACTGGCAGGAAGCCAGGCTGGAAATCCTAGTGGTTAAAGCTATTTGGCAGAGGCACCCTAGGAGTGGTTTCTCAAATCCGTCCTGTTTTGGCACCTTGTATAACAATATTATTAAAATCCAGCTGAGCGTTGATGAGTACAGAATTCCGATGCCAAGGACATGTCACTAATCCCAAAGCAGTCAAAGAAGAGACCTCAAACTGGATGTTAATTTGTCCTTTGTGTAACAATGTAACCAAAATATTGATGATAAAAAGTCATAATTTAAGATTCAGAATAAATGGGTTTGATGTCTGGCTTGCTCTTCTCCCTTCCCATTGTCTCCCAACTCCCAGACTGTGTGTAAGTATCAGCCAAGGGTCAGGGACTTGCCAAAGGTAAACCCATACCCTGCCTGTTTAAACACACACACACACCACACACACACACACACACACACACACACACACACACACACACCTAGCAATGGGTCAGATGGGATTTACACATAAAATACATTTTAATTTAAGTACAGGATATCTTTGACACAGGAAAATGTTTGAAGAATATATAAAAAAGACAGCATTCAAAAGGTGTGTGGAGAGGCAGTCTGCTTTTGTCACATGTAATCATTAATGTGGTCCTCTTTCCAATCGGAGACTAGCGATTAAAAGAAACTAACATTTGAAGAGAGAGTCAGTTATTTCTAAGACAAATGAGATATTGGAAAGGCATTAGTTTTCATTCATTTCCCAAAAAGAGATGCAGTGGGGACTATATAAATGAAAAACTATAGTTTGAGTAAGGGTCTGTTTCACTGGCCTTAGGTGAAGAGCATGATAGAATGCAGAATAAATTTAATTTGAATTAAAATGATGTTACATTTTGTGAGGATGGGGAAATATCAGGAAACATCAACTCAAAGGCACGTGGAATGTTTTGGCTCTGTGATCAGTGGAGATACTTCTGAGCAAAAACATTGTTTATGAATACTGATAACATAAACAGTAGGATGCTGGCCAATATATTTTCCCCATGTTTTATTGCCCTTAGTTATCTAGACCTTTTTCTCTCATTGCCCTTAACCTTCTGTTCAATTTAAGAAACAGCAAACCTCATTAGAAGACAATACAGCACTCCAGAGAGTGAAAGACATATGAGTACTTGTTATTTTTATTGCTTACAAATATGGAATACATACATTTCTTTATATTCACAACTTTATTACATACAGGCTGTCATTTGGTTATATTGTCTAATAAATAAGTTATTAAATTGACTGATCCAAAAATAAGTATATTTCAGGAGTTTATTTTGTTAGGTAAAATGCTTCATTCTGTTTATTACACTCTTTTTTTTTCTTCTTTTTGAGCCGATGCCAAAGACTACCTTAGGAAGAAGTGGTGATACTGGTGTTTCTGCAGTTGTTATAACTCACTGTCACGTCTGCCTGGGTCCTGTGATGAAGCTCCTGTGTATGGTCTACAAAAATATATAGGTCAGAGCAAACTTTGAAATTGATTTTCCTTTATTTAGAAAAAAGAGCAAGTGTGATACTTGCCGCCCAATTTGAGCAGTTCCATCTCTGATTCTCAGTTTTCCCACCTTTCCCATGACCCCTGTGCCCCCTCCCAGCTCACCAGACTATTGTGAGGGCCACACTGCAACCTGAGGACTGTCAGGCACCTTGGGGACAGGCGGTGCCACTGGTGAGGAGGGTGTTTCTGGAATGTCAGACTTTTCAACATGCAGTTTATTTCAAATACCTGACAGGAGAGCATTTGTATGTGAATTTCCATTTTCTCAAAGAGTGTGGTAACACTGTGGTGTTATATTGAAGTATCATCCGATTTTTATGAATGGTAATATGAACATATGCAAATCTATACATTTTTCACATGAACTCAGTTATGTTATTTGACTATCTTTTGTGGCTCAAGCCCACCTTTCTGTTCTAGTCGGTAATGCCAATATTTTATAAAAATAGATATCTGTAACATTTTTAGTACAAGTAAATAGTGAATTATCCATTTTTTTGCATTATGATAGTAAGTTGGTCTACTTGATAAAGGTTAACCTTACTAACTATAAATGTTTTTGAAAAAATTAAAAAGTTTTAACTTAAATATATATTCTAATTTGAAACACATTCCTGATGATTCATCTCTCTAGGTCCTGAGAAACTGTGTTTATCATTGTAACTGCTGAGGGTTTTTTTGTTTGTTTGTTTCTTGCATCCTAATATTTTTATTTATATGTTCATGTATAATGAAATCATTTACATTTTAAAAATTGTGCTTATTATGACTGCTTAGAGCAAAGGTTATAAAATGAATATTGGCCTGAAATCTCATGGAACCCTGTATAAATTACATATTTACTTGTTTGGAAAAAAAAGTTTAAGCTAAATCTAGTTATATCAAGCATCAGAAAACTTAAAAAGATATACAAAACAAACTGAAAACTCTGCTGTATCCTTACATTTATTTGTAATATTTGTACTATTTCCTTGGTACCTTATCAAGGGAACTGATTGATATCAAGTCACATACATAGCAACTATTCCATATACGTATATTGTTTGCCTGCAAACACCTGAACATATAGTTTTTATCATAGAGACATAAAATAAAATACAGAGATTGGCTCATTCTCCTGGACTCTAGAAATATGTGAGAGGAAAATTTGATAAATCACTGTATACAAACAAAACAAAAGCATGGGTTGCTCCAATACACCACCTATACCAAAGGAGCAGACTGTCCCCTCGATTTGTGTCCCTACAATTTTGCAATATTTTAAAGGAAATAAACATGACATAAGATAATATAGCTGTGATAAATAGTGTTTACATTTTCTACAGCATGGGAAGTATATAATAATCTAATGCATAGACGCAAATGAATAAAATGCTCTGCTACATTATATTGAAGACAGTGCCAATAAACGATGGAATTCACAGAGGTAGATTATACTGAATCATTCAATAGGTTTTACTGAACCATCTGTAAAAACACGTACAAAATGTAAAATTACATTAATCATAGAACTACAACTACTCTTTGCCCTTTGCCTTGCTTATGTAGCTGTTTGTCATTGGGATTCACACTTTGCTACTAAAATGGGATATTGCAAACATATTTTAAATTTTAAGATCAAAGCCTATAAATTCTCACAAGACTTAAAATTGATTTTCTTGGCATTTAAGGAGCAAGCACAGCAAATACAAGGAAATAAGTTAAAATACTATTTCCATTTTGGAAACTTGGTTTTATCATTTAACAGTTTTAGAGCTTAAAAATTTTTTTTAAATGACGCTGAAGAATGTAACTGATGATGGCCACATTCATTAAACGAGTCTGTTTACATATTTTCCCAGCCTTTTAAAACATTTTTGCAGATATATTTCACCAAAATACTATATTTCCTGTTTGTGCAGGTAGAGGACTACAATTTCCCCATATTTAGATGTTTTAAATGTCATTGTGACATATCTATCCATGATGTACTTGTTTAGATCCAATCCTCACCCATCCCTTCAAAATAAACAAATAATCCACCCCAAAACATCCTGTCAAAATCATTTAAGATAGATTCAATGAATATACACTTTTTAATAAATGGCATGTGTGTGAGTCTGTTTAATAACATCATACCAAAACCTGAATTCTAAGTAAATGAGCTTTCCTTCCATTCCCAAACCCAATAGGGTTACTTGAAATTTAAGGGCAGAAGCCAGGTGACTTTACCTCCCAGGGATAACAGGAGCTCTGCTTTATTTTTCCTAAGCGGATTTAGCTGTGGATTTCCATCACCAGAATCACTTTAGGGTCT